TTATCAGAACACAGCCTCCTTGCTCCTCGACTCACCTTCTGTTTCCCCTTCAGAGCCGCCTCTGCGAACCCCTCCAGAGTTCCTCAACCACACTGAGAGCTTGCTGAACTTTTAAATAAACTGTTAAACTTTCTCCTGTGTCCGGGTGTGTTCGCTTCAGAGTCTCCTAGAGATCATGACAGCAGCTTTGTTCTCAAGTCATTCATCCTCATCGTATTTTTAAAAAGCAAAATGATGGAAACATTTTTATCTCATGTCTGCCCTAAAAATGTCAAAAATTGAGACATTTTTAAAATAACTTGAAACTGAAACACAAATGTTTTCTATCCAGACTGCTGATAATGAAATAATTATTTTCATTATTTTAAAGATTCTTATTTTGATTCATTTTAATTATTCACATGATGAAACAGTAAAATATTGTAAATATTAAAATATAGATTAATGGGTTTTCGAACATCATTGATGCATCTTGTTCAGCAGCAATACAATTCAGACCAGTAAATATTACAGTTGATGCAAACTGACAGAGACTCTGATAAACAGGAAATCACAACATCAGCTGTTGTTTATTCAAGTGTGTGTGTGTGTGTGTGTGTGTGTGTGTGTGTGTGTGTGTGTGTGTGTGTGTGTGTGTGTGTGTGTGTGTGTGTGTGTGTGTGTGTGTGCGTGTGTTGCTGCTTCCTTCTTGCTTAAAGACAATTTTGTCTTTTTGGGACCAAATAAGCACATCTGAACTAAGTTTTCTTAGCCAAAAATACTGTAGTGAAGAATAAATGACACAAACAACACTGACCAAATTCTGTTTCATAATCATAAATGTTCTTTCAACAAAATACAAAATCCTGATTGTTCAAGTGTTTTATTTTATGTTTAATAATCTAGTCGTTGGTCTTGTTTCCACTCAGCCTCTCCTCTGAACTGCTTTTCCTCAGTAAGGTCACGAGGAGCTCGGGCGAGAAGTAAGGGACACCTGGACATGTTTCCAGTTCCTCACAGAGAAAAACATCCAGTCACTCACTCCCAACGATTACAATTTGGAGTTTCTATTAACCCAACAATCACGCTTGTGGAAGATAACTGGAGAACCTGAAGAAACCCCACGCATGGAGGAAGAGAAAATGTTTGCATCAAGCACAAAAGGGCGTAGTCAGGATTCAAACCTGTGACTGTCTCGTGAGGCACCAGCTGCACCACCAGGAAACCATAGCTGCTGATAAAAAAAACATTTATTATAGTATTTTTTGTTTAAAGAATTTTTTTTTCCTAAACCCAAAGACAAATATGGACTCTGCCTGTTATCAGTATCTATCCATCTGTTAGAGTGGTTACAATTAGCCATCTGTTAGTTCTGTTCACATCATCGGTATTCCTCTCATGTCCCCCCACCCCACCCCATCCCTGTATTTGGTGTTTGTCCTTTCTCTCCATCTGTCCACTAATAATAAAGCCAACTGTGCAACAGGAGAAGTATCTCATGGTAAAACTGCTCTGGCGTTATATGGTACCCAGAACAAATATTCTGTCTGCCGCTGTCAGGATCTGGGGTGAGTGCTGCACTATTCGGTTCACCTTGTCTCAGTCTCTGCAGGTGGGCGGTTCAGGAGAGTGGCCAGCTGCAGTTCATTCCTAATCAACCGGTCCAGGATATAAGGAGCTGGGAGATCACTTCACTTCGCCGGATGATTGCTCATTTGGGGTAGCGCTCGCCACTATAGAGAAAACCATAGCTTTAGTCCTTTGCCTTTTGCTCACAATCCGTCGTTGTTGCATTGAATAAGCCCCGTCTAGTCCTCACCAGGAACTCTCACCACTGACCAATTCTGCAACAACCTGGATTTCACCTTTGAGCCTGATCTCCCTCCACGCCTGGACCGACCCGCTCTCCCACCGCTCACCTCCCTTGGATTCTGGATTCCCACCTCCGCAGCTCACCCCAGTCCTGACTTCCCCCTCATCTTGGATCTCCATCCTACCGTAAGAACTACAGAAACCAATACCTCCTAGCGTCCTACTCTGCCTTATCGTGACCATTGTTTGTCTCAGCAGACCCAGCCCCGAAGCTGTGCTTACCATCACCGCCATGTCTGGCCGTGCACCTTCAATTTCCCTTACAAAATAAAAACATTCTTTTTACTTACCTCCGTCTCCTAGAGTGATTCTGGATGTCTTGGGTCAGGAAACTCCCCACTACCATGACAGCTACAGCATCCACAACTGGACAGGTAAAAAATAAAAAATTAACATTATGCAACCCAAAGAGACAGCAGATTCAACAATTAATACCCCAACAAAAAACAAGACAAAACACATTTTACATGTTCGCCTGAAATGTGTCTTTTTTTTCCTGCATGTTTTCTTTTGTTTTGTATCATTAACCCTCTGGGGTGTAATTTGCCGTTTGTGACAAATTTAGAGTTTTCCTTTGTATTTACAAAATAAAAACCATAACCACTGCCTTATGTGGTATCAATCTTTTCAGTACAACCTGTACTTTATGAATTTATACTTATGTTTTATATTTGGACATAAAGGGGTTGCATATTAGACCTTAAATCACCGAAAACTGAAAATCCGAATTGGAAAAAGGTTGTTTATTTTACTGTGAAACCAACAAACATTTATGACGAATGATTTTTATAATTTAGAATGGTAATCTAGACTGTACATTTATAAAAAATATGACTAAATATAGCAAATAACAAATTAAAAAATAAAATTATTAGCCCTCTGGGGTCCAGGGTGTAAATCACCGTTTTTGACTAATTTTGGTTTTTCTTTTGTATTTTCTAATAAAAACAATAAATATTGCCTTATGGGGTATCACTTTTTTCAGGACAACCTGGACTATCTGAATTTATACTTATTTTATTAATTTGGCAATAATGTACATGCATTTTGGAGTGGGGAGTGGCTCTGTCTCACGCCGAGATCTGACAGCTGTGCGGCGCCGCCCACTCCTCTTGTTGGATCTCCGAGGAGCTGCATCTCTGCCTTCATCCTCTACCTCATCATGACCCAACTCTTCTATGAGGAAGGATGGATCTGCCACATCGTCATCAACATCCTCGCTATTTGCCTCAGACTCCGGCTGTGAGTCTCCGTCCACTTCCTCTGCTTCCGGTTCAAAAAACAGCCGTACTATCTGACCTGCCTGGTGGACATTTATCCTTCTCATCATCCTTTATATAAGCCTAATAAAAGCCTACTAAACTGCAGAGACAATATATCTGTCCGGATCGCTCCAAAATATGAAGTTTACAGTCAATATCTGTCTAATTGTTTGTTGTTACTCCGTCCGCGCCACTCCTTTCCCCGCGAAGCGGCTCCTTTTTTGCGCACATCTCGTTACCCGTGCAACCTTCCTCTCTCTCAGCTACATAATGATGCTTTATATCAATTGAATATGTGAGACTTCCACCAACAGCAAAAGGATCTCATGTTTTTGTGGGTTTTTAATGTTCACAAGCACATTCCCTCTCACGGATTACTAAACTGCTGTTTTGACAAGTTATCAGTGTCTAAAAATAGGTCGTTTTTTAGTTTAGTATAACTCTGCTTTTACGTTGCCTATTAACAAAATTTAAAAACTGGGGTGTAGTTTATAATCTCCTTTTTAAAGCTGAATTGAAACCGAAACTCAGAGAGGCGGAGTCTTGCTGCTACAACGACCCAAATCAGACCTGTTCAAAAGACGCGTATAGAGCTCCGGGAGTTGACGTCACTTCTCCCGGCATGCAACAGTTCAAATCGAAAAGGCGCCATATTGGCAGGTAGAAGCCCGCAGCTGGACTATTTGTTATTGTCAGAAAACTCAATTGAACAGGAAATATGGTAGATTCCTGTTGTGCCCCAGGATGCAGAACAGACGCGGATGACATAAGGAATGAGCCGTCTACAGGATTCCCCAAGATCCGGAGCGCCGCAAACGTTGGATCATTGTAATAAAACGCACTAGTGACCGGGCTAAAATGAAGCTGTGGGATCCCGAGAGTAAAGGTTTTCGCTTACGCAGCGACCACTTCATATCAGGTACTTAAACCAACGTTTCCTCAACTGTGTGTGGTATTTATTTTAAATGCTTTTATTACGATTCTTAGTGGGCTTCCTAAACTTATTTTGGCGTGGCTTTTTCTGTCTTATTACTCATAGCAACGAGTAAACATCACGTAAAACATTGCCTCGTGTTTCTGCGTGCTGCCGTTTACGTGTTTTATGATCACAGTAATTAACCGGCTAAGCTGTATTTAATTTTTAAGCAATGGTTGATCAATTGTCAGATCACACATAAAAAGCACTTTGGATTGCTATTTTCTGTCTCACCGAGACAGATCTCGGACAGATCCTGAGACGCTCCTGCCCGACATTTTTATTTTATTCACGGGAAAAAAAATCAAACTAGTGATTTCTCTTGGTGTTCAGTTTATACATTCAAACAGCACAGCACTCTATTTAAACTGCTTACATGTACATCTGTTATTTGTCCATCCATCCATTTTCATCCGCTTATCCGGAGTCGGGTTGCGGGGGCAGAAGCGTCGAGAGTCCCAGACTTCCCTCTCCCCAGCCGCCTGAGCCAGCTCCTCCGGGTAAATCCCAAGGGGTTCCCCGGCCAGGTCCGGTAAGAAGTCCGCTCCGACAGCTTCTGGCGTTTTTAAAAAGTATCCCAGGGGCACGGTAAGGGTCGGAGATGTTTAGTCTATTTAATTTCTGACTATATAAAACGATTTCTTCGGTTTTAAAGTGTGAAGTAAACTCCGACGAAGTAAAATCCAAGCCGATCCCGTTCACGTTCATGGTTAAGATCTGTGTTTGTTTAGCTTCTTTTACCTGCCAATATGGCGTCTACTAACTGAGAGTCACGTGGGGTCCGGAGCTCTATACGTGTCCATGGACCCCAGATTTCATTTAAAAGCTGGTCTTAGAGCTCTCACTCTGGTGGTTTTATGTAACAGCTGTTCAGACTGGGGGGTTTTTGTTCAGCTGTTCTGATGTTTGTGTCACTGTGGCTCTCTGGCACAGTAATACACAGCAGAGTCTTCAGGCTGCAAGTTCTGTCCGTTCAGAGTCACTGTTTTACTGGAAGAGTCTAAATTAATGCTGAACTTGTTTTTGAGAGAATCTTTGAAGTATGTGACATATCCAATATGTGCACTACAGATATATTCCAGTGTTTTTCCTGCAGGCTGTCTGATCCAGTGTGTCCTGGAGCTGGTGAGAGAATAAGAGACCTGACAGCTGATGGTCAGACGCTGACCTGGCTGCACAGTCACAGAGGCTGGCTGAGTCAGCTGTTCACACTTCACACCTGAGGAGGATCAGATTAAGAATCAGTCATTAAAATAAACAGCCAGTGTAATTTGATCCAACTGATTCTGTTTCAGGGAGACTCACAGGATGCAGCAGCCACCAGCAGCAGAGCTACAGAGAACATGATGAAGATGATGATGAAGAGGATCTGACTGAGCTTCTCTTTGCACCGTGTTTATATTCACCAGCAGGAAGGTTGTTTGCATAATGAGGACCACCAGCTCCTCACATGTGGAACTCAAAAGTATTCAAAATTCAATAAATAAATAAGACATTATGAAATATATATTTCGTACGTGAAGAAAATAATGAAAAATATTTCACAATATTGATCTTAGAATTTACATAAAATTCTGTTATTTCATAATGTCATTGTCAGATTAAATGACTGCCTAGTATTTCTTCATGTAGATATTTATTTCATAATGTCTTATTTATTCGTTGAATTTTGAATACTTTTGAGTTCCATTTATAGCAGAATAAGCTGCTCTCATCTCAGTGGCTGGAGCTACGCTGTTTGATTTCTGTTAACTGAAGAAGCTGTTGAGAAGATTTATGTTAATGAAGAGTTAGAAATATTGCTGTGATGAAGATTGTATTAATCAAATGTAACATTGAATTGCAGGGTTTCCCTTACATAGGCGTAGCTGTGGCTGCCCGCCACGGCTGAAGTCCCACCACCACGCCTACAAGATCCCAAGTTTTTTTTTTTTTTTTTTGGCGCTGTTTCCCAAAGAAGCAGCGGGAACCAGGGGCGGTTCTAGACCAAATTTTCCAGGGGGGCCACAGTGGGGCCAGTATTTTTTCATGGGGGCGCAAGACAAAAAAGGGAAAAATTAGGGCAATATCAAAATTCTTTTTTGTCTCCGCCATATGACAAATTTTTTGCATGTGCACAATTTTACCAAAGAAAATTCCTAGTACTGTGAAACTGCTCACTTTTTTGTTCTCTTCTTTTTCATATCTATCTTTACTATATTTTGGGGATCAAATTTATCGAAAAATTTCCTTTACTTTTTTCATCTATGATCTTTTACAGCTGTATTTTACTAAAATAAGATTCAAATAAATTCATAAGTAAAGACAATGAACAAGTAAACTATTACAGTGAATGCAGTAATGGTTTACTTGTGAAAGTAAAACTGGCATGTTTTTATGGTACTCAGATAACAATTCTGAATGCTTCACCACAACATGAGACGTGAGTAAAAAAATAATTCTAGTTGATTATTATAGTTTGTGACTTTATTTGAAGACTACATGTACTGTACATATGAAAAATAAACATTCAAACAAATTAAATATGTGCACAATACAATTTGAGACAATTTTCAGACAATTTCAATTTTTGCCTTTCAGACTTTGCATGTACCAAAAAAAAAAAACTCCTCTCTCAGTTGCTTTTTTCCAGTTCCTAAATCCACATGGTGAGTCAAACACACTTCCTGCGCTACTTGGTGGGCTAAAATGTCTGCAGGCATGACAATAAGTAGAGTCCATAGTAACTGAATATTCAACCCAAGGATTACTTTCATACCAGCTTGGCTGAAAGCTGCATCTTCTGTCTCCTATTAATGTCACTGGAAATGTCCTCAAATGATGCTGAGTAGGTGGGTCATCCTTGCACTTGCTGATATCTGAAAGAAAATAAATGTTAGCATGAGGATAAAAGTCATAATTAGTTAATTCAGAGTCTTATTTTATCTATTTATTTAAATATAAACAACAGAAATTTTGGTCCAGAGTCAGCATGCCTCAAATGCATTTTACACACAATATGAGCTGCAATCACAGAGGGGGTTGTTCAACACCCACAAACCTGACGGTAGTGCACGACAGATGTCCCTCTTTTTGCTCCTCACTCCCTCCCTCACAGCCTACATCTTCCTTCTCACTCTCAGGGTGGACAGCCTCTGACCTCTCTGGTTCCTCTCCAACCACCTCCTCCTTCTCTCTTTCATCCTGCTTCTCAGCTCCCTCGTGACTTTCATCCTCTCTCTGTCTACGCTGTTCTTTATTAACAGCGGTAAAAAAGGACAAAATGTCCCTTTTTCTTTTCATGGCCGCTGATACTTGCAGTCAGTGCAGCGAGAAAGTCATAGATAAATGAATACTGTGATCTAATCTCAACATGTCTAAGGCTTAAAATGCAGCAACTTCATGTTTATTTTACAGTTAATGTTACAAAGGAAAAACAAATCAGTATTAACTGTGGATAGACTCAGTTAGGAACTTAAAAGTAAATGACAGAAACGCGCGACCACGATCAAAACACTGATGTCAGGAAAATAAACTGTATTGCTTACCTTCGTCTCTTAGCATCTTTTCCATTAGTTGTTGTGCTCAAGAATTTCTCCGGGTCCCATTTAAACTATTTTTAATCTTTTATTCAAAAATCCAGTTCTGTCCACAGAGTGTGCTGCGCTCTAAAGGCTCAGTGTGAAACGCTGCAGCGCATTAGTTCCCGTCTCCGAGGCAGCGCGTGAAAAAAATATCTGATCTCTTCAGCACAGGGGCCATAACAGGGGCCAGGGCCGGTTCTATGGGGGCCCAGGCCCCTGTGGGCCCCTGTTTAAAACCGCCAATGGCTGGAACTACTATGTTGTCGCTTGTGATCACAGCCGGCAGGCAGCAAGGAGGAGCAGGCAGGGCAAAGTGAAGTTATAGCATAAGTTACTGAGTTTTAAATTAGAAAGGTAGCAGTGGATATAATGCTTTGTGGTTTACATGTTTCAATAGCATTAAGATTGAGTGTTGACGATCTTGACAGGGTTTCCTCCAGTGCTTACTAGGCCAGGTTTTCCTCCCCCCACCAGGCTAAGCATCACTTATTCATGTAAAAAAAATTTTTTTTTTCATGTCTGACTTTAACCGCATCTAATACTGTATTACAGCGTGAGCGCAACAGCGACAACTTAAGATCGGTGTGTGAGCAGCCTGAGAGGTCAGGTGTTTTCATCTGAACCCTTCAAACCTCCAGTAGGCTACGCATTGACGTGTTAGCGCGCGGCGCTAACCACTTAGCAACGTGACATGTCTCGGAGAAAGCATAAAAACACGTTGGACGCTTCATCTGAAGCGAGAAAATAACACATCTTCTTAAGCAGAGCACGACGTCGCCTCGGCTCGTTCACCCTCTGCCGAGCCGGTGTCGGTACAAGATCTGCTCGGGTGCAAAATTGGCTCGGGGTCCGTCGACTGCCAATGACGTCTAAGTAGTTGATTGGCTGAACATGAACCTTACGGAATTACGCAATCACGTTACGTTGGTCCAGGCAAATCTTTCTGTTGGAAAGATGGAAAACTTTTACAAAGAAATCCATCATTACCTCTTTGAAAATACACTTTTAGCATAGAGCTGCATGTATATTAGGGCTGAACGATTAACTGCATGTGCAATTAAATTGAGATGTGACAAAAGGAGATTTTCTAATCGCAATGGCTGCATTTTGGCAGCGAGTGGTTAGCGCAATGCTAATATACATGGAAAAACCCATAGGAATGCTAATGCTAATATTGCCGATTACATTATTACAAATTATGAATTGGAAACGTGCCAAATGATTACATTTGGAGTCTAATAGAAAGTAAAACTACCATCAATCAAATAAGTACTGACAGGTATTTTAGTAAAGCCAGAAAACTTTTAACTCCAGAGTTTTGGCTAGCAGCTATGAGCGTAACTATACGCATGGACAAGACGTCAAAAACTCTAAACACAAAATACGTCAATAAACGGGACACACTTCTTTCCTGCAAATACAATTTCACAGGTGTTGCTAATACCTATGATTCTTCAAGGGAAGTGCTCAAAGAGGAGTTCAACATTATGAATAAAATATAGTGTTTTATTTTACAAATACCATTATAAACACAAACTTACGTCTTAAGAAACATTATTTTAATAACGAAACTGCTAAATTCTTTCCAACAGTATAGATGTGTAGTGTATTTTGTCCGAGTGGGTTTGCCGTACTTTGACGTCATCGGCAGTCGAAGGACCCCGAGCCGATCTTGCACACGAGCAGATCCTGTACCGACACCGGACAACATTGACCCAGCACAGCCACTGGGTCGTTGGAGCTGCCCCGTGACTGCCTGATGGAAAACCAGCGGATTTCATCAGACTCGTAAAGTTTCTTGTTTTTGCTGGGGACCCCCTGTATTTTACCGCTCCCTCCTGCAGTCTTCCCCTATTAAAATTTAAAATGATTCTGTAAATTCCGTGTATCAATAGAAAAAATCTCTGCCTCTGCCAGCTGCAGTAAATGTAGTCTCCAAATAATAAATAAGAGGTGCATTCATCTGTGTATCTCCTTTGATCCGCATTAGGGATACTCTCAGCACCAGAACAGTGAAGCAAAGAAACAGATTCCTGAGTTTGTTAGTAATTTTATTTATTAGGTGCATTTGACCTGTTCTATTTTTCTCTGAAATGAGATCAAATCAGTGCTTCTATGGGTTGTCTCCACTCTGCACTAGAAAATTTTAGTTGATTTAGAGACGTGTCATAATTCCACCCCCCCCCCCCCCCCCCCCCCCCCCCCCCGGCAGTGTCAAATAATGTTTTTTTCCTCCTCTTTTGTCTTTTTCACTATCAGAGCAGAAACTTAGACTTCAGTATCAAGTTTCATTTGATACTTTTATAACAAAAACCTGGCGATAACTTAAGTTTTTTATGTTAAAATGTGCAAAGGAAACAAATACAGCAACAACAATTTGCAGTAATGTAAATCGTTTTCAGGTTTATCACACAATGATGCCATTTCAATAAAACAACATTTTAAGTCCGTTTTTATCATTTCTGCTGCAGAATAAAAGAGCTGATGTTCAAATGTGGACCTGGCTGCAGTCACAGAGCCTACAGGTGCTATATTTATTATATAATAATATAATATATTATAGCTGCTATACTTTTCATATAATATAATATCTTATAATTGCTATACTTATAATATAATAATATAATATATTATAGCTGCTATACTTATTACATAATAATATAATATATCATAGGTGCTAAATGTCACGAACTCATCCCGCTGACTTCTGTCCCATCATTCCTGCCACCAACGTGGCGGCTGACGTCATCCCGCCGACACTACTTAAGGAAGTGCCGGCGTTTCATTCATTACTCAGTCATCGTTCTCACCAGACTTTGTATCGAGTCTCCAGGCTTGCCAGCCCTCTAAACCCTCAATCCAAACCTTCAGGAGAT